TTACAATCCTTAAAAGTCCTAACTAAAGCATGGGTTAATTCGAAGCAATACTGTAATGAGAGTACGGTAATCTGACTCCTAGGAGGCTTGCTAAAACTTTTGAGTTGGTATCACTCTATCTTTTTTACTTTCTTTTGTACAAAAAAAAACTCGATGTTTCGGCATCTTTTCAATAAAAGTTTTTAACGTCAAGACAAGCATATGATTTGCATTAGAATTATCATTCTTGGAATAAAACATTCTTTGCATATGAACAAGTGCTTAAACATCAAGTGAGCTTGCATAATAAGAATCAAATGAAAAAAGTTTCATTATCTCGAGGAACAAATTGTTGCAGGATACTGTTAAGGGGTAAATCATTTTTGAGAATGATCTTAATCTGGGGCAGACCTTCTATTGACACTGTTGAGTAAAAGAATGTTAGTTTGAGAAATGATCTGAAGTAGATTGTGTGAAAGTTTTGATTTCCCAGAAGTCTATGTTAAGAAATAGTGTATCACTTTTAGTTAGGTCATAAGGGACATGTTGCTTCAAGTATATGCTTGAACATGAGGCAATTCAAGTGGAGAAGTATGGTTGTGTAATAGCCTACTTACAAGACGTAAGTTAATTTCCCTAAAAAGGAAAAGTTTAAGACTCTGTTGGGTATGAGCCAGTTTGTTTTCCCAGCACTATTTGTTGTTGAATGCAAACATCCTGGGGAAATCAAAGTCGAGAGGAGATTTCTCAAAATTATCTAATCTGGGGCATTCAAGTCGGGATTCAAATCCCTTAAAGTGAAATCAAATTGGAGCAGTTATGTCGAGATTTGACAAATCTCTATGAGAATTCGTTGGTCATAGGAGAATCATTTCAGGATCTGAAGATGCAAGGATATTCATTCAAGCATGGTTGAAACTTCTTCCAACTCTGGCCAGTCAGGGTCTGTGTTCTGAAGTTCATAATACTGGGGCAGGTTATCTTGATGGTACAGATCTCAGAAAGTCCACTCGAGGCAAATTGCTTTAAAGGCCCTACAGACTTGGGCAAGACATAACACAAGGGCCTTTCTCCACTTCACAATTTGAGCAAGTTGAGCCTGTGAGTGGACTAAACAACTTGTGAATGTTGGGAAGTAATGATTGATTATCCTCATCTCATCAGATACCTAAGTTCGGGCTATTGGTGTTTCTTCCATCAGAAGTCAGGATTATTATCTGCAACTGAAGTTTAAATCGTTATCATCAGCAGGGTACGAGCAAGAAAGCAGAGAGCGATTAAGGTTGTTACCCATACAAGGTTTATGATGGAAACGTTATTTCCTAGGAGGATTTCTTTTCCCAGTAAAGGCTCCATTGCATGCAATAGTCACTCATTTTCATTATCTCCTTGAAAAAAGTCTGCCTGCTAAGGGATTTCTCTTCACATATCTTTACCCTAGAAGAGTACATCTTATTGGGTTTGGTACAACAATTTATCTCCTCAATATAGCTCGTGCTTGTGAGAGTTCTTTTAAGAATTCTCCTTTTTCCTAGTGATGGAAGGTGTTGTATCATCCTCAACGGAAGGCAAGCTTAAAGGAGTCCTTGATTAAAAGTCCTCATTTCCTCACGTGAAGTTTTCCTTTCTTTCAGCGAAGCATTTATTCCCAAGGAATTTAGGAGCTATTTGAAGTCAAGATGATTTCTTTTCAGTGGACTGCAATTTATTTTTGCAGTATCCTCTCCAAAGTCCACTTTTCAGCGGTATTTCTTCTCAGAGTTGACATGTTGGAGTTGCAATGTTGCATCGCAGTTTTTACCCAGTGGTCGTTAGTTTAGACTGTTTATTCCTCGATGAAGTTCAGTTTCCCGAGAATCTTCCAAGATGTTCCCGGTTCCCTTAACAAATCATTTTTTATAAACTTTTCATTTTGAAGCTTTACAACACATGATATAAATATCTAAAATTTCTTGGAGTTTTGGGTGTCCGGGATGACGGCTAAGGTTTCCATTTCATACCTGGGGCATGTTGATGTAATTTCCCTTTTTGTAGGTATTGTTGTTCTTTTATGACAAGAAGTGTACCAGCAAATAAATCAAGAAAGGTCTGATTGTGACCAGCCTGAGATTCTTAATGGAAGGAATGTTTTCTCAAAACATAATCTGATATCCCCAGTGAAGGCGTACCCTCACCCAAACAGGGTCCCTTATCTACAGTGAAGGTGAGCCCCTGTTTAGAAAGAACATTGATCCCCGACGTAGTCTGCTCATTTCAAGGTTTCTTAGAAGAATCACTTTATTTATCGATCAAAGATTCTTGGTATATCCCCGTGAAGTTGACATCTACATCCCCGGTGAGGTTGGAACTCGTCTTCCCCATGAAGTTTGCATCTTTCTCCCCAGCGCGGTTGTCATACCCCAAATTTTTCCTACCCTTATCTGGCTTATGCATCTTACACTCCTCATATGCATTACCCTCCAATAGGTCATCTAACACATCATGCACCATTGATCAATAAATTTTCCATGGGATCAAGGATATTATGGAATTAGGGTTATCTATTCTTTAAGGCTTTCACATCACTTAAGCTTGAATCTACTGGTTTTTCATTTACTTTGGCCTGAGGAGCTGGGGTTTGGATTCACGATCATTGTGAATTTCTCTTTATCAAATTACAAGGTGTGTTTCTACCAAGATACTTTAAGACAATGTTAATTAGGGTTGGTTCTTTCACCATCCTAAGGCACTTCTCATTTAAGAGCTTCAAGGGTTTCATAGCGAGGGAATCTGGGTGATCATGTTGTCTCTATACTTCAAATATTTCTTCAAAAGGCATTGATTTTTTCCTTAAGATCTTGATATCACGAAGTGGATTGCAAAATGTATTTCATGGCATAAAAGATGATTATGGATTCATTTGTGCTTAGAAGTTTTCATGCAAGTTACTTGCAAATTTGAAGCTTAAAAGTGCTAGCATGGCATAGATGTTTGAGGCAATGTTTCTTGAGGAAGCATGAAAGTAATGTGAATATTGATTATGGGTGCGAGTTGCTCCTTTTGGGAATTCATCCCACGTGTTTGGTTTCAAAGTGGATTCGCTCATATTGGAAAATACATTGAATTAGTAAAGGAAGGTGAATTTCATTTGTATGTCATGATTGATTTTGAATTCATTGATGAAGAGGAATTCATTTGAAATACTTGGAGTTTTATCATTTGAAAACAAAGGTCTACTAGATGGAATAGATAAATACGTGCGAGTACGCATTGTCCAAGTATCGTGAAAGTTCATACAATTTCTATTCAACATCATGGCAAATTACAATTAAATTCTATCAATGGTCATTCAATTACAAGTTTGTGAAAGTCCATTTAAATTCAACAATTACATTCAAACTTCAAGCCCATTACATTACAAGAAGAGGTTACTTGATTCATTCTAAGTCAATTCATTCATTCAAGAACCATTACAAAAATTTCACAAAAGATATTCTAAACCTAAACCTTCATTAGTCTTCATGATTGTATGTGTGTTGCTTCTATGATCTTTATGTCAAAACTGAAACAGAATTGCTTCCTGCATTAGTCTAATCAAGGTATGCAACACGATTCAAGCTTGAGTGCGTATCCAAAGCAATTCTTCAATTCATTATGCTATGCTGCCTAATACAACAAGAAAAATCATCAGCACATCATGCTTATACAAGTCAGGACCAGTGCCAAAGTCATTCAATTCAAACATAATCCAACTCAAATGCAATTCTATAATCTGGGCAGCCATTTTCAAAAGGTTCAAATGCCATGTTCAACATTCTGTTTAGGCAAAAAAAAGGTTCAGACTTAGGAAAAGCTAGAAGCTAAGGATATATTCAAGCCACTTCATATACAAAACATAAAATCTCCACGAACTCAACCCGACCCTTCAGAAAAACAAGAAAAAATCGAAAATGGAAAAGACCTTTTGTTCTAAATAGGGCTCTATTTGTATTATGGTCGAAGGGCTTTTTACGCGATCCATCATTGTTTGCATAATCATAACAGAGGAATATGTTCAAATTGAAGAGCAGACAAATACACTAACCTTTTACTCTTTTTATCTAACAGTTTTTTAACCAACTTTTTAACATGTTAACTAAATGTCCTAACTGAAATTAGGAAGCCTAACTAACTTTTAGTTTTCTAACAAATTTAGTTTCAACCTATAACTAACTTCAATTTCCCAACTATTACTAACAGCTCTAACAGTTATAACTAACTTCAATTTCCTAACTAACTAACTCCTCAACCTATAACAAACTTATCATGTAACCAAATTCTAACCACCTAATTAATCTCTAACCAACTTCTCAAACTCAACCAACTATATAATCAAGTTTTCATTCAGAAATCAGGGGATTCATTTAACGATTCATTTTTCATACAATTATTCAATCCAGAAAGTCAGAGAAAAACTCACCATAGAAAAATACCAAAACTCTCTCAAATTCTCTCTTCTTCCTCTCACAATTCAAAACTCTCTCTGCATCTTCAAAATCGCTTTCTCTCTCATAAAACTAGAAAGTGTCGCAATAATTTCCAATTTCAACCTTCAAGCCGCATCTTCATTTTTAACCCTGGTTCCATTTTCTCTCTCTGCAAAACCTTCATCTTTACCTTCTCTAAAAACATCTGAAAAGATCCTTTTGTGACCGAAGCTTCTATCTCTATCAACAACTTCGACTCTCTACATAATCTTCATCACCTTCAACTCTTCCTCTGCAAATCAACATCTCCAAACTTCTGAAAGATTCATTATCACAATCATCTTCATCACGCTTCAGCATCCTACACCATCATCATCTTCACGCTACTTCATCTTGTTATTAGTTCACATTCTTCCAACAACCTTCAACCTCCTCAATCTTCAATCAACTTAATCATTAAAGTTCTAAAATTGCATCATCAACACTTCAATCTCCTTTACCTTCATCGCAGCATATCAATCTGTGACTTCAACAACATCCTCATATCACACACCTTCGCTCTCTTCAACAACATCCTCATATCACACACCTTCGCTCTCTTCAACAACGCAACAATAACAATCAAATGATGCAACAGAGAAGTAGAAGAAGAAGCACAAAGAGTTCAAAACCAGGAATTGAGTGGTGTATGCATACCTGAACAAGAAATTGATGATCGCTAGATTTCTCTTATTATCGCCTCCGTCGAAGATGCATTGGGTTGTTCTCCGATTGGTAAGCCTCATTTCATCATTTCTTTGCATCGAGGTATTTATTATGTCTTGCATTTTGGCTTGCTGAAACATGAATTTAAACGAGTGTCGTGAATCTATGCACCATAGATCTTTAAGTCTTGGTTCTCTTTCTGTCATGTTCCGTTAGATTTTGGGTGTCTGAGTGATGTATCGGTGCAAACAAGGTGGATATAAAGGAGACACGGCTGAGGCAAGGTGTTTTTATGGTGATTTGAGGAGCCTCAATTCAGTACAGCGGTGCTATACTTAAATCGGAGTAGGAGGAAGTCGTGAGGGAGATGGCGATGAGGATGATGGTTGTGACGTTGGTGTTTTAGATCGAAAAGGGTAGAGGAATAAAGCACCATCGTTCTCTAAAAGAGAAGAAGAGAAAGAGTTTGTTTGTGTATCGTGGAAGATGAGAAGACACCGACACTTGAACCCTAACATTCTAAAACGTTATTGTTTTACCCTTTCTTCACTTCAATTCTTTTTGTTTTATTTTAATGATGATAATAAAAAGGATTAAAAAAATGTGGATATGGATATTGTGTATTAGACCGGGCCGTTTGCTCCCTTGCCTAGCCCATTGAGGTTTTATTATGGTGGAGCCTTGCTACAAAAAACATATTATTGGGTCTAATTCAGTATGGGCTTTGCGCTTCACTATTGGCTTGTAGTACTACTATCAGAATTGCACCCCTCCTGGGCTTATTCTATTTGCAATTTCCTTTGAATAATTTTGTTAATTGTTTAGATTTGTTTGAGTTTTCTCCACATGATAAAAAATGACAAAATCAATAAAAATTTGTTAGATTTTCTTATTTTATTTTTGGAATTAATTCTTGATCATTCAATTACTTGAGATTTTTTATTCACTTTTGTTTGTCGAGATTTGAGTCTTATGCAAGTTCATTATGCGATATGCAGATATGCTTGAGTTTTTTATTGTGATTTATTTTTACATTGATGATGCTTAGACACTTATTTCGAACATCAGATCTCTGATTATTTTCAGTGATTGGTAAAGCTTGCGCAAAGTATTCCGGGTTTCTTAGATTTTGATCGCTTTGCTACAGATTGATATTTGTCAAGTACTTTCTGATTCTGGTTTAATTTTCACATTTCTTTACTGCTTTCTAGATATCATGAGAAGTAGGAAATAAAGAGTGTACGATGGAAGTCGCTGTTTTAAGACCTGTAGCAGGCATTCCACACTTGTTTGCTAATTGTGCTTGTGTTTGCTTTTATCTTTTGACGAATTATGATGTCACTCAATTAGCATTGAGATAACAACTTCGGCATTTGCATGCTCCTATAGGATTTTATTGCTTTCTTTGTTGATGATCAATGATGTCACTCAATTATAATTGAGTTAATGACTTCGATCTTTGCATGCTCCCTTAGGGCTTCATTGTTTTCCTTTGTTAATGATCGATGATGTCACTCTATTAGAATTGAGTTAACGACTTTCATCTTTGCATGTTCCCTATAGGATAATTATCTTCACTCCTAGGTTTTTTGTATGCTAACATAGGTAGACGTTTCCCTTTTAGCATTTTTCTTCCCTCTTTTGCATGTACATTAAAACTAAAACCTTTTTTTTCTTGGTAAACCATAAAACATCTTAATCATACTTAAACCCATTTTCAAGGTAAAAAAACACAAACCAATCAAATGTGGCATCTTTCCTTGAGGGCATAACTCAAAACCAATTCATAAGGGTTCGTCACCCATAAAAAACACAAAATAAATAAAAACATATGAGCCGAACTACGGCGCTCTGATTCCTCGAAAGGGATACGTAGGCAACAGGTCGCGGGGCCTAACCGAGCAAAATTTGTAAATACTTCCTTCTTTTCCCCGTATTTCTTTTGCACGCATTCTTATTTAGTATTAAACGATAGACATAGATTAGACACACACATAAGATAGATAATAAGAGTGGATATTGTATAGTCCTATGGACATGTGGGGTGCTAACACCTTCCCCTCGCGTAATAAACTTTCTTACCCGATCTCTCGATCGCAAGACCATGACTTCCCCCTTCTCAGGTTTTCTCGATGTTCACCTTTCCCTTCATGTGGGATAAAAGACGTTCGATGGTGACTTTATTGTTTGATGATTTTCAGCCGGTTGTTTCAACTGGAGACTTCATTGGGGATAGATCGACCAATTGCTGGTCCATCCTGGAGTCGCTCCTAGATCTTGTTTTTATTTTCTTTGGGTGTTTATCTTTATGCTTTATAGCGTATTCATTTGTATATATTTGAGCATATGTATGCATTGCATTTATCACTTTCCATATACTGGTTATTTCTATTGTGCTGGATTCTGTGTTTCTTGATGAGTGGGTGTTACTATTGAGGTAAAAGGCCTAGTACCCAGGCTAGAGTGCATTATCTAGGAAACCTGGGAATAGAGTGGGGACATGAAGGCTATAGGATATGGTCCGATTAGTGCATTCATTTCATATACCACACTCGGATGAGGTTCAAATAAAGATATTTTCATTATACACGTCTGTGTTGCGATGATTTTACTTTCAGGAGAACCCATGATTTTGAGTTACCATTGGCCTTATCCTGACCTAGCCTTTACCCGTGAGTGGGGAGGGGATAATCTTTATAGGTATCGTTGGTGACCTTCTCTGTTGGTGACCTGTTTTGTTGGTGACTTGTTTTGTCGGTGACTATGCGGTCCTCAGGTTCATTTTCTAAGTTTTAAATGTGGTGTTTATGGGTTCTTCGGGTTATGTTCTGAACCTGTGATTCTTGTAATAGAAGACTATGCAGAGATAATACAACATAAATCAGTATCATGGAAGTAGTAATCCCATGGTCACTTGCACTTACATCATAGCATGTTTACTTTTTAAAAGAAATGTTAGAAAAATGAAACTATATACTAATCTTACATGTGCTCCATTCTAGGGTATCTAACGAAGTTATAGTTTCCGTCAGTAACGTCTATCCACAATGATGTTCCAAAGAGGACCAGTAGAGACAATTTTACTTATCAACTTTACCCAAGTTCTTGGCCTTCTTTGAAGAGTTTGAAATATTGTTTAGTCCATCCTAATGCAGAGGCTTTCTGTGAAAGATATGGTGGCATTTTGACTCTGATAGATGTTCGGGTTGATAATGGAGCTCTTTGCGCTCTACTTCAGTTTTATGACTATGAGTTATGTTATTTCACCTTCTAGGACTATCAGATCGCTCCGACTTTGGAAGAGTACTCTCATTTTATTGATATTAAAATCACTGAGCACATATTGTTTGTTATTGTTCGGAACGAGTCCGATTTTGAAGCTATTTCTAAGGCACTTTATTTGGGCCTTAGTGATGTGAAACAGAGATGCAAAAGAATAGTGGCCTACCCTTGGACTTCTTGGTCGGTAAAGTAGAAGAAATGGCTAGAGATGGTACTTGGTACGCGTTCAATTCATTCTTAGCTACTGCAGTCTATGGCATGGTTTTATTTCCCAACATTGATGGATGGGTGGACTTAAGCACTTTATGCGTCTTTATGAACCGGAACCCAATACCGACCTTGCTGGCAGACACTTATTATGCTATTCATTTTAGGAATAAAAATAAAGGTTATGTGATACTCTGTACTCCAATGTTGTATAGATGGTTCATGTCTTTGTTTCCTACAAAATGACCATTCATAGACTTAAAGGATACTCATGATTGGGCGCCAAGGTTGATGGTTACCTCCTTTGATATTGAATGGTATTGGTTGAGGGTCAACAACAATGAAGTGATTACACGATGTGGCGGTTTCCCGAATGTTCCACTCATGGGGACACAAGGGATGATCAACTATAATCCTGTTCTTACTTTGTGACAATTGGGGTATGCTATGCATAATCCACCCGAAGCCAGGAGGATAGCAGATACCGTTTATTGAAATAAGGGTGAAGACTCCAAAATGTTGAAGACAGTAGAAACCGCATGGCGTAAAGTTGGTAAATAGGGCCAAATTCCTTTTGGGAGAAGTAGTTGGTAGCTTACGAACCATATGTCAATTGGGTCACTAGGAGGGTTGAAACTCTTCTTTTTCCATTCCCAAAGAAAGATCCTTTGTATCTACAACCCACCAAATTGCAGAATGATGTGCCTAAAGAGATCTATTACCAATTGGAGAAACAGAATTATAATCTTCGTACTGATATGGAAGAAAAAAACATGGAGTTGTACCATCTTATGACTGAGAAACAAGGTTTGGCTTGCAAGCACAAGGAAGCAATGGGTACCTCTATAGGTGTTAAAGCCAAAAAAAGGGCTCGAACTAATGATGGGTTGGAAGCCTCTTTTGAAAATCAGAGTTGAAAAGAATGTTCAAAAGCAAGATGATGATTATCAAAAAAACTTCTAGCATGCAAGGAGGAAAAAGACAAGCTTACCGCTGAAAGTAGAGAATGGAAGTGTCAGCTTTGGGCTAAAGATCTTTAGTATCAGGAGGAAGCCTACCAGAGGCATGCAGTGGAAATCCTACTCAGGGGAAAAGATATTCAGGTCACGCAACTCAACAAGGAGATTGCAAATCTCAAAAAGTAGGTTGAAAGCAATAATGGGGATAAAACATAAGTCGCAAGCAAAGAGTATGCAGATTTGTTGACTCGATTCTGTAGTCTGGAGATCGTGACAGTCAAGAAGGATGAGGTGATTCAAAGTCTGGTTTTAAAGCTCGATGTGGAGGAGATAAAGCAGCTTTGGAAAGGGACTATTGCTTGGAGCGTTGAACACTTGGAGCACAGTCCATTGAATTCTTTAAAGCTATGAAATTGATTATCGTATTTCCTATCTTGTTGTTCCAATTACCACCAGTCTTGTTGGGCGGAATCGCTTATTTTGTACTTTCGCAACTTTCTTGTATTGGACTCCGTTGGGATTTCTTGCGTTTCCGTTATTATATGAGTAATGTTGGATATTTTCTTTATATGGTCGTTCTTATTATCATGTTGTTGGATTATTACAGACGTTGCTGTGAAAACCCGGAATGGACAATCATTTCATGCATCAAACATATCATGCATTTCATGAATTACAGGTTTTCTGGCCAGAATTCTTATTTGTTGGTTTTGCTTCTTATTATCAGAATCTATAAGATGGCTTTCTTACATTCTTAT